ATTCTACTGGAGGTTGTCATTTCAACCTTTTTCTTAATATTATATATATTCAAAATTCATATAATAAAAAAAATATTGTATATAATAAAAATCAATCATTTAATTATTTTATAATTCCATGAGACAAATGACCTGGAGATCCTAACCTGGTTAGTTGTCATTGTCATCAATTTCTTTTTTAATAAAGATATTTTTCTCGTCATATTAATGACATCTTCTCTTTTCTTCTATATATAAAAAAAGTATGTTTTTAGTATTAATTGTTTACAAAAAACCACCATTTATTGTTATTAAACGTTTTTACAATGGAGAATCACGCAATAGCAACTATGATGATTACTTTGGGTCCCACGGACCACGGGTTTGAATAGACGTTGCAGAGGGGGCACGAGTAGTTTTTATATATATTGGTAGCTACATATCTTGGAAAATCTTCGTTCTTGATTTGCTAATATATCAAAACAATTTCGAAGGAAAAAAGTTTTAAAAAAAGCTAGGAACATGAACGTCTGTCGGAAATAATCGTACAGCATACAGGTCCAAAGTCCAAAGGAAAAAAACCCATACGAGTAATCAACTAACTAAAAAAAAAAAACCTTCGTAGGTTTGTCTGACTCTCTAAACTATATATATATATATATATATAAACTCGGATGAGTTCCACCACGGAATATGTGATCGAGCTGCACAATATCGAGTCTAATTCGCAACCTCTTCGTCAGCGAGACCCGTTGTTGCAATTGGTATGACGTTTGCTGTAACGTAGCTGTCCGGGTTTCAATCCTCGGTAGTATGCACACTGCTGATGAGTCCCAAATATAGGAAAAACCAGTGACATATATATATATATATATATATATATATATATATATATATATATATATATAAGTGATTATACTCATACCCTGACGATCCGCGTAAGGTTCATAATTATATATAAATAAGATGTTTTTTATTAATCCGACATATTTATTGATTAAACGTTTTTGTTAGTGGATACCCATATTTGAATAGACGAACCTGGATACAAAACTGCGTTACCCTAAAAAGATTAAATCCAACCACCGGTCAAAACCACCCGGAAAAAGAACCACCCGGACAAAATGAACCACCCGGACAAAAAGAACCACCCGGACAAAAAAACACACCCGGACAAAATGAACCACCCGGAAAAATGAACCACCCGGCCAAAAAGAACCACTCGGCCAAAAAAAACCACCCGGTCAAAAAGAACAATCCGGTGAAAATAAACCCAGCCAAAAAAAGAACCCGGCCAAAAAAACACCAAATATAACGACCAGCCAAAAAACCACCAAAATGAACCAGTCAAAAAAAACAACCCGGTCAAAATGAACCACCCGGCCAAAAAGAACCACCCGGCCAAAAAGAACCAACCAGTCAAAAAGAACAACCCGGTCAAAATGAACCACCCGGCCAAAAAGAACCACCCGGCCAAAAAGAATCACTCGGCCAAAAAGAACCACCCGGCCAAAAAGAACCAACCAGTCAAAAAGAACAACCCGGTCAAAATGAACCACCCGGCCAAAAAGAACCACCCGGACAAAATGAACCACCCGGTCAAAATGAACTACCCGACCAAAAAGAACCTATTCGACAAGAACGCTTATTTTTTAATAATCTACGTTAATAGCAGACGTTTCTCAAGGTAAATAATAACGGAATTATTCGTTTAGTTTCAATTAATTTGCCCAAGGATGTACTTTCATGTTAATTGTTCGGATGCGCCTTCGGCTGTGGACGACAGAGTTTAAGAATTTTAGTGTAGTTCTAGATTGGCAACACATTTCTAAGTCTACCATTCGTCCGTATATTAAATATTACTGCCTGGTCTGGTTTGTTGCTTCTGGCGGGGAGCCAGGTTCGAATCCTGCCGGATTTTTTCTTTTATCATTCGATAATGCTTAGAATAATCCTGCCACATATGGTCTGGAGTTCCTGCTATGTATCTAGATATCCTTGTTAAAATCAAAAGAAGAATCAGCAATATTAATGGTCCTGACCTTGTATCTCGGCTTCTGTCACTTCCTCGCCGGCGTTATATAGCTTCCTATGGCTTTTTCTATAAATACACCCTTGTGCAAATTAATTGAAACAACCGCTTTAGTTTTTCTTTCACATTCGGTCAGTTTTAGACCTACTGAGCTGACAGGGTGTAACCGTCTTCAGTCACTTTCCAACCCTGTGCGTTTGGATGAGTTCTTGATTATGTTACCGAGACTTTATGAATTTAAACGCAGTACAAGATTGGCGGAGAGGTCTCATCAATTTACAGTTGAGTTTGCTAGACGTAGCCTTAAGTTATATGCTAAAAGTTTCTTTTCTCGCACTCCTCGCTGGTGGAACTCCCTTTCAGCTCTATACTTTTGAGTGAATTTCAACCTTCAAAGATTTAAATGCAATGTCATTCGTTGTCTATACTGTCCTCTTGATCACTCTTGATCACTCTTCATTTATTCTCGCTCCTTAATAATGTTTCTCTTTTCTAACACTTCCACACCCAGTAATCCGTTGTGGCTCCGTGGCCTCACTCACTTGCTTGGGATGAACGCGATTAAAAAGGCAATAATTAAATAAATATGGTGTGGCTAATATTCAGGCTCGGAGACAAAATTAACTAAATGTACTGTTTAAATAAAACCCTAGATATATATATATATATATATATATATATATATATATATATATATATATATAATTGGTGAATACGGAATTAATTCCAATAACCAACAATTACTATTCTTAAAAGAGTGCTCAATACAAAGTAGAGCAGATATTTTTTTTAAACGTTATAACATAAATATGTTATAAAATCACTACAAAAATAACCATTTTGTTTCAATGATGATGTTGAATGTAAAATAAATGGTTTTAAAAACGATCCTTCGCAAGGGGAAAACGCTGTTACGAAATCTAGAATAACTAATCAAAATACAAATATATATATATATATATATATATATATATATATATATATATATATATATACATGCATGTATGTGTTTCAAAATTTCAGATAGACTATATGTGTATGACAATATGAATAAAGACAAAAGGAAAATTTATCTTTGCGCTGATAAAGTCCCTGAGATAAAAGGAAAATTTACCTTACACACACATATATATATATATATATATATATATATATATATATATATAAAATATATATAAAAAAATAATAACTGGTCACTCGTATTCAGGATTCCCGTCTATTAGGGCTGATAGCCAATCTTTATTGCAGACGCTTGCTCAGGCACAGTTGTGTTTGTTCAGCACCCACAGAGCCAACCTGTGGTTTATACTGCAACTATCGTAACAAATCAACCGCTGTGAGATTCGAAACCAGGTCTCATATATATATATATATATATATATATATATATATATATATATACTATATATAATATATATATATATATACTAGCAAAATTGTCCAAATCGTGTAACAGTAATTGTTAGATTAAGCCCTGAACTGTTGTATTTTAGAAATGATTAAAGATACTTTGCTGAATTTCTTCGAGGTTTTCATAATACTATTGGACTCTGCTTTGAGAAATCAGAATGGATAAGGACTCTCCAAGCCTAACAGAAGAATCGTTATGAAATCAATCACATGTTCATTATTAATTAATCATAGCTGAGTATCGGAAGTTCATGAAGTATTGAAATAAAGTTCAAATATATATATATATATATATATATATATATATATATTATATTATTATTATTATTATTATTATTACTGGTTAATTTTCCACTATATTCAAGATGATCTTTACCCTCTCTAATCTAACTTTCTGTCCTGGAGTAACAAGGTGCCTCACAGTTTTCACGTATAATTTCATTTTCATATTATATTTTTAGCATATATATATATATATATAATTTTAATCGAGTTCACACCATGCAAGGTAATAAAGCCCCTAAGACACAAACGGTTACTAAATATGGAAGAATCAGAAAATAAAAACATTTCTTAGGAGCGAGAACAAAAAGGAGTAATCAGGAGGACAGTAGATAACGATTGACATGAGCACACGTGTCTGTCTGTGTGTCTTCTCAGATAGTTTTAGTATTTTTAAACAATTATTTTGGATACTTGTTCTTCCCCTTATTTGGTCTTTACATCACAATTTTCGCGGGAGAATTATCTCCGCCTGAAAAACGAATAAATGTGCCGCCCTCAACCTGATTCGAACACACATTTTGTATTGCAGGAGCTCGTCATTGACATCTCAAACTCTCATTCAAATCTAACATGTAAACAGGGTGAGTAAAGAGGTCACCCATCTATAATTTGTCCACAACTGTATTCCATATATTTATGCTCTGTTGGTTCATTTTCTTTCATCTTTTATCTTAATCTCTCTCTCTCTCTCTCTCTCTCTCTCTCTCTTGCTCTCTCTCTCGCTATCTTTCTCTCTCCTTCTCTCACTTCCTCTCTCTCCTCATGTCCACTTATTCCATCCACCTCTCTTAACTACTTCTCCCTCTCCCTCTCACACCCTCTTTCTCCCTCTCTCCCTCGCACTCTCTCTCTCCTTCTCTCGCTTCATGTTCACTTATTCCCTCCACATCCCTCTTAACTACTTCTTCCTCTCTCTCTCCCTTTCTATCTCTTTCTCTCTCTCTCCCTCTCTCTTCATGTCCACTTATTCCAACCACATCTCCTGTAACTACTTCTTCCTCTCTCTCTCGATCTCTATCTTTCCCCCTCTCTCTATCTTCATGTCCACTTATTCCATCCACTTCTCCCTTAACTACTTCTCCCTCTCACTCCCTCTTTCTCTCCCTCTCTCCCACACTCTCTCTTTCTTCATGTCCACTTATTCCATCTTCTCTCTTAACTACCTCCCTCTCCCACCCTCTCTCTCCCTCTCTCACTCTACCTCTCTCTCATTCTCTCTTCACTTATTCCATCCAATTCTCTCTTAACTACTACTCCCTCTTACTCTCCCTTCCCTCTCGCTCTCTCTCTCTTCATGTCTACTTATTCCTCTCTCTCTCTCGATCCCTCTCTTTCCTCCTCTCTCTCTCTCTCTTCATGTCCACATATTCCATCCACTTCTCCCTTTACTTCTCCCTCTCTCTCCCTCTTTCCCCCTCTCTCTATCTTCATGTCCACTTATTCCACCCTCATCTCCCTTAACTACTTCTTCCTCTCTCTCTCCCTCTCTCTCCCCTCTCTCTCTATCTTCATGTCCCCTTATTCCATCCACATCTCCCCTAAACTTTCCTTCTCCCCTCTCTCTCTCTCTCTCTTTTTCTTTATTCTCTCTCCCTCTTCATGTCCACTTATTCCACCCACATCTCTTAACTACTTCTCCCCCTCTCTCTCTCGATCTCTCTCTTTTCCTTTCTCTCTTTCTTCATGTCCACTTATTCCATCCACATCTCTCTTAACTACTTCTCCCCCCTCTCTCTCTCTCTCTCTCTTCCTTTCTCTTTTCTTCATGTCCACTTATTCCATCCCCATCTCTCTTAACTATTTCTTCCCTCTCTCTCTCTCTCTATATATATCTCTATCTTCCTGTCCACTTATTCCATCCACTTCTCCCTTCATTCCATATAAACCAATCTATCCCGATTGCGTATCCTCGATTCATATTTCAAAATTTTCGACTCCAACTCGAAATGTCATATGACAGACCAATTAGTCCAACAACGCGGCGTGCAGTAAAAATTCGCGCTTTGACGCATTATTTTTTTTGCGCGGGAAAACCCACCACCCCAAAATCGCAAGGGAAAATCTTTCGCTTTTTGTTTTCTTTACGTTTTTTTAAAGTCACATAATTTGAATCCCAAACACGTATTCGTTTTCCTTATCTGAGCATTCGTTTCTACGTGTTAATTCTTCCGCTTTCCTTTGGCTTCTAAGGGTTTTTTTCATTTGTTTTCGTATTGTTAGTATTTTTTCTTCTTTGCCTTTGACATCCGATCTTTTTTTTTTTTTTTCCTCGTTCTGTTTTCTTGTTCTTTTTGTCTCTCTATCATGTATATTCCCGCTTTCTGCTTTTCTTTATGACATCTCCACCTTCATTTTTTATTTATTTATTTCTGATATACGGATCTCAGTATTCTTTCTCTGTCTATATGTATCTTTTTTCTTTTCTTTTTTTTTTTGATTTTATATCAATTCTTTCTTTATAACACTAACCATTACCACTTTCTTTCTTTCGCTTTTCTTTCTCTTTTCTGTCTATTTTCTTTCTTTCTTTCTTTCTTTCTTTCTTTATGTATGTATGTATTCTCTTTTTACATTTTTTCCTCCGTCCTCTTCTTTCTGTCGATTATACTTTCTTTCCTTGTTTATTTCTTTCTTTCTTTATTTTATTTTATTTCATTTCATTTCTTTCTTTATAAGCCTAACCGTAACCGTTAGCTTTCTTTCAATATCTATCTATCTATCTATCTATCTATCTATCTATCTATCTATCTATCTATCTATCTATCTATCTATCCGAATCTCTTCATATCTATCTATCTATCTATCTATCTATCTATCTATCTATCTATCCGATCTCTTCTATCTTCTATCATTTATCATCTTTCTCTATCAGAGTTCTTATTTCTATCTATCTATCTATCTATCTATCTATCTATCTATCAGAGTCTCTTCATATCTATCTATCTATCTATCTATCTATCTATCTATCTATTTGATCATTTTCATCTTTGTCTGTTTTATTTTCTATCTATCTATCTATCTATCTATCTATCTATCTATCTATTTATCTATTTATCTATCAGAGTCTATCAATTTATTTTCTATCTATCTATCTATCTATCTTTTCTTTTCTATTTATTTATCTATCTATCTATCTATCTATCTATCTATCTCTATCTATCTATCTATCTATCAGTCTCTTCATATCTATCTATCTATCTTCATTTATTTATTTATTTACTTATTTTTTCTTTTTTTTTTCATTTCTTTCTTTCTTTTTCTTTCTAAATTTCTATATTTTCTTTAA